AATTTCTTAAGCCCTCACACCAGCCATTGCCTTTGGGCAAGCTACTTAACCTTTCTGAGGCTGAAAACTGATTTAAGACCAGAAATCTTTCAAGTGTAGAAGAAAAAAAAAGTATATATTTTTCATGATACAGGGTCTTGCTATGCAGCTTGGACTTGTGATCCTCCTGTCTCAACCTCCCCACACTGAGATTCCAGGCTGGAGCCACCATGCCCAGTTCAGGGGCCTGCATGGCATGCCTGGGCTCCAGGGTGGGCACAGCATGTGGTACTGGGGATTGAATCAGGGACTTTGTGCTTGCCAGGAAGGCATTTAGACTGCTGAGCTATCTCCTGAGCCCAGAAAAAATATTTTTAAAATAAAAAGACAGGAGTAGACGCTCTGGGCTGGCATGGGGTTGGGTTGGCTTTCTTTCCCTCTTCCCCTCACCCACCCGAGGTGAAGTGTTCCAACTGTCAAGTAGAGCTCTCTGGGATCAGCCCCTTTATTATTATCAATGTTTTGGTCAGTGGCTTGATTAGGGTTACTAACGGTGGTAATCATTGTACTTGGTCCCTGCTGTGCCTCTGTGGGTGGAGAATGAGCAGCCAGGATTGTCCGCACTCAGGGTGCTCAAGACTTAGCTCCCCTTAACCTCTGTGGTAGGGTCTGCAGCTAAATTGAAAGGGCAAATACTGGAACCGCAAAGCTGTGCCCTGCCACCCGCACTGACAGTTCGTGTAGGTCCACTGTCTAGCCGGCTCCTGGACAGCGCACACCCTGAGAGGGCACGGCCTGAGGAGAACAAGGCTCCCCTGGTTTCAGGGGACAGCGACCTCTAAGGCAGTGTTTCTCCAAGGGGTCCTTGGACCACCTGCATCGGTACTACCTGGGTGCTTGGTAGATGCACAGACCTCTGGGCCCCAAGGCGGATCCTCAGCATCATTCAGTCTTCTGAATGACACCCGGGGTCTGCACAGAAAGGACGTCTGTGTAGGTGTGCAGGCCCAGACCTGGAGAACCACGTCTCGTCATGCAGTGATGCCTCAGCCTCCAGCCCAGAAACCCCAAGCAATGGCTTCATTCTCCTTACAGTTAGATTGGCTGACGCTGGCCAAGCCATCAACAGTCCCAGCCCCTATCTTCCTGAATGGCAATTGCTACTGTGGTTCTACCCCTCTGGGGATGTCCTTTGTTTCTGGTAAGAACTTCATTTGCCATCTGTCATTCCCCTCCCCCCACCCCCCAGCAACAAGTAGTAGCACTAGAAGATCTCACTTAGGGAAAAATTCAATAGTTCTGGGTCACAATAAAAGTGTGTGTGTGTGTGGGGGGGGTGTGTGTGTGGGTGCCCACGCATGTTTGGGGGGGTGGTTGAGGAATTGAAATTGGATATCTTCTTCCAGGTTTTAAAACAAATTTTCTTGTACTAAATCTAGTATGTTAAGCCATAAAACTATCTCAGAAATTATTGCTTCCAGCTCTGTGTAAAATACATTCTACAAAACTCAACATTGGAGTCAAAGAGAGCAAGAGCTGAGACAGGCCCTTGGGTTGGTGGCCTTTCTGTTTCGTGGTGTCCTTACCCCGTCCTTCCCAGAGCTCCCGGCAACTGCCTGGGTGTCCTCTGGGTCTCGGCTCCCTGCCCTGCCCTTAGACTTGATCAGACTGTGTCTCCTTCTGTCAGTTTTGTACTTGGAGTTTCAGGGCTGGGTGCAGCTGACAGGGAAAACCCCTCATTTGTCCAACTGCATTCCACACTGTACGTGGGCGCCAGGCACCTGGGGTCACCACCCAGACTGCCACCCTGATTTAAAAAAACCTGGGACATTTCTTCTTCTGAATTGAGCCAGAACTGGAGACCTTGGACTTCTCTCCTGCAGCTATTTCAGCGCTGAGATTGTTTCAAGGGGTCGTTTCACTTTCTATCATTTGGATAAAGTTCTCCTCGCTTAAGCAGGGGAGAAGAAAAGAAGGAGAATTCAGAGATAACGCAGCATTTTCTAGGCTCGCCACCAAAACCACAGTTAGGTATCGACATAGCAGACAGGACAAGAACAGAGACAGACAACCTGCACTTCTGTCTTGGTGCCGCAATTTCCTGGGACCAGGCCGCTGTGATGTCACCATTGGAGGCCACAGAGGGGTCCGGGGAGGCGTGTATTTAGGGTACAATTGTGAGGGGACTGAGGAGTGTCTGTTTAGGTTGAAAGAGAGGGTCCAGTCCACCTCACTGGTTCATTAAGATTAGTGAGAATCATGGAAAAACTCACTAAGCACTGAAGTTTATCTCTCCTGCTGTTCTAGAAAAATCCAGGAGCCCTAGATGGTTTGTGCCCTTTCGTGATTGTCGGAGGCAAGTACATAGATTGCTTTTCAGCTTCTGGGTGATTCTGGTCTCCTCACAGAGGGTCAGCATGAAAGCTGAGACAGCTGTGCTCAGCTGCATGGCCTAAAAATCCCGTCCTTCTCAGTTCAGTGTATGCTGTACAGACGTGGCCGGGCTCCCAGATACTTCGGTCACATTTCCTCTTGTGCTTTTTCTGAAGAGTTTCCTCTTTTAACTGACCCCCCCCCCCCCCGCCAGGTCTCTCCCAAAGTAAGAGGTCAGCTACTTCTAAGTGCTTTGTCATTTCAGAGACGCTCAGAGCAAAGGCATCTGGTGGAGCATTCACCCGCTGCCTCTGAGTAGAGGGAAGAATGCGCCTCTTGGTGAGAGGACCACTGGTCCACGTCGCCTGGACAGATGTCACCCTCCAGACCACTGTCCTTTCTGAGGACCATCCTTTCCTCCACCTTCATTTGCCTTCTTTCTTTCCTATCAGATAGTTCCTCAATGACTGTGCCAGGAAACGTGTGAGTGTAGTGGGGAAAAGGAGGGACACAGAGAGAACAGAACCAGAACCAGGCCCAGACCAGTCTAGCAGGGAGGGATCCTGTGAGAGGCCGCTGTGCCGTGGAAGCCCTGGGCGCCAAGCGCTGCGGACAGCAGTGGACTGGCCCGATTCAGCTCTGCTCCTTGCTGAGCCCTTGCTCCTGAGTTCTACCATGCTCTCTTTAAAGTGGGCCCCTGCTGTCCTTCCTGGGCCTGGGCCATTCTTCTGGGCGTGCTGTCCTGCTTTTGTGCTGGAGAAAGACAGCCAGCGCGGTGGGTCTCAGTCCTAGCGCAGCCCTTTGCCCCTGCTAATGGCTAGGGGTGTGACCCGCGCTGGGCCAACTTGGCCTCCTTTCTGGAATATGACCATGTGGGGTGCTTTGGGTAGAAAATGGTCAGAGTCCTTGTGTCCTCTGACTGCGCTGGGAAGGGCAGATTTTTGGAGCTGGCTAGGCTCTGTCCTCAACAAGTGTGGATCATTCAGCCTTCCATGGATCCTATGAGCTACCTCTGAGCTATCCAGGACTCCAATTTCTGTTTCTTTTTAAAGTCTCCATTAGTTGGATTGCCTGTTTGTATATAAAAATCACAACAGGTACCATTCTAGAAGACCTGACCTCACGGCGCTCTGCACCCTCTCGCCACACCCTGCACGGAGTGCTGTGCAGCAAGGTCTGGCCAGCTGATAGCGAGAGGAGAGCTCTCTTGGATGAGTGCCTTCCACTGTTTAGCCAGACAAGATTTTGGGGAGACGACATCACTCTAAAACTGTCCCTCTAAATAACTGCTGCCAGGCTCCGTTGTACCTTATACCAGTAATGAAAGCCAAGCTGGCGTTCACAGAAAGAGACTCGTACTGTGCCTTGCTGGGGCAGCAGCAGTTCCAGGGGCTCTGCGGAGGGTGTTGGCCGAAGTTCAGGCTTGGTGGAACTTCTGAGGTCATTTAAAGCTAAAAGGGAGCTGCTTCATAGAGAGATTTCAGAGCTGTCATACTCTAAGTACTAGCGAAGCACCCTTTGTTACTAAATTATCAGTTGATTCACTTCAGAGTCCAGTATAAATTAAAATTTGTAAATAGAATTATAGTGTAAATGCTGTGCTGGAGCTGAGAAATTAGGAAGCAGCAACAGCAAATAGCAACCTGAAAAGTCCTCGCACACAGAAACAAACCACACAACCCTTTGCAAGGGTATGAGTTACTACCTCTGGGAAACTTTTTGTTAGAAACACTCAAGAAAGTAGCGTATTAGTTATATATTACGAGTGCATCATGAACTGCTGTCAAGATCTGGATCTGTGGGATGTGTATACGTGGCCATCCCCCGGAGCATGGCTAGCAGTAGCCCAGAGTTTGGACATCCAGACATCCAGGAAAAGGGGAACACTTTCCAGATACTGGAGCAAGAGCTGTGGTGCAAACGTGGAAAAATGTCTACAAGTCCTAGTGTGGAAAAACCGAGTTGCAGTATAGCCGGAAGAATTCGGTTAGCTTTGTTTGAAAAAATAATCTCTCTGGAAAGAAATACTGTGTCAAGCACAGTCCTGAGAGTCTGCAGAGGTTTTCAGAAGCCCCAGGCACCAAGGAGGTAGAGTGCCCCCATAGGTGACTCAAAATCAGATGTTGTAAACAATAAGGTAGATGCAAAACCCAGCTATGGTTTGCCACGACCACCATAGAAATATCAGATTATTTTAGGACAGCACTCGCGCCCCTGCTGCCTCTTAGCTACACACTTCTTGCTGTCGGGCTCCCGCATCCCTGGCAGGGCCCTGGGCAGGGGTGGGTTCTACTCTTCCTTTATCTCTCACATTTCTGAGTTGTTCGAATAAAGAGAAGACATCCAGGAAAAGGGGAACACTTTCCAGATACTGGAGCAAGAGCTAAAAGTTTGAATTAATTTTTCAAATGTGAAAATGATATCAAAACAGGACAGGGAGCACCGGGGAGCCCTCTGGCTACAGGAATGTCTTCTGTTGCCTCCTCTCAATGGTCTTAGCTGGACATAGGATCTAGAGAAACCCACTGAGCTGAGTGCTGAGTCTTGTGTGCGGTGTTTAAGCCCTGCCACAAGGAGCAAGCTGTCGCTCTTCCTATCACGTGTCTAACACACGGCCCCTAAGGCTGATATCGGAGTTGACGAGTTACCTGCACCAATACGAAAAACCTTTTCTTCCATCTCTTCCACACGTTCTTCCCAATGGCCCACAGATACCTAAGAGGAAGAGAAAGAAGGCACTGTATTAATGCCTGCACGAGTTCAGTGCTGGACACACTTGCCCTGGGGGTGCCTGGGGAGGCGCGTGCCCAGGGGCAGGGGCACCCGTGGGTACCCATGAGTGAGAATGAGGCAGTGGGCTGAGGCCATGTGAGGAGGAGTTGGGCCCATCCTCAGCAACTACAGAGAGTGCCTTGGAAAACATTGTTACTCGGTAGCTTTGTGTGCCTCTGTGTCAAAAGGCTCTCAGGTTGGGCAGCTCCGGAGAGAGATTGTGAAAAAGACAGAGAGAGTGTGAAGTCCTCTGAGCTCAGTTCTTCTGCCTCTCATCAAGTTTCGCTCAAGAAAACCTTTCCCCCATTACTCCACTGGAATCCTGGCACAGGCAGGATAATTCACGCAGGATGCCTTCCCTCCTCCTTTCTCCAGCTGATGGGATTTAATCTTTATGGAGAAAAGTGAAATGAGGAGAGCAAAGACTGCGTACACGTACGTGGCTCAAGGCGATCTGGGCTTGGAGACCAGTGTCACTAATCCTTTCATGGATTGTTTTGATGGCTGTGGCTGTGTGGCCTGTTACAGGAGGGCTGACCTCCGTCAAGAAAGGGACCCTGTTAGCATCCAGACCCTCCCAAGACGGGAATCTTGAGACATTCAACTACATGCCGATTCTCAAGTTCCCAAACTGGTTTGTCTCTGAACATAAGCCGATCGGACAACTTCCAAGTCTTCTCTTTACCCCAGAACAGGCAGAGCACAGCGTCCACTTTGGAGCATAACAACTAATGTATCTTGCTGATGGTTTATTGTTTGACTTCTTAGGGGCTCTTGAGGATAGCTGGCGGCAAGACCGACTGGGACCTCAGTCAGAAATGCAGGAGCCGACCTGTGTCCCTGGCCGCCTCATTTCTCAGTCAGCCCAGACAATTGATTTTTATTGTCTGGAAAGTACCCCCTCCCCAGCACTCCCACCCAATGCCATCACTTCCTGGGCTGTGCAGATAATCCTGCCCTTAGGGCTGCCCCGCTGCTGTGATTATTTGTTCTCAGGTAGAGTGTTCTTCTAAGACTGTTGTCTCTTCAAGGGCCGGAACCCTGTCCTTCTTTCTAAATTCCTGGCCCAGAATCTTGTTTATTCTTTGGAATTCCTCTCAATTCCTGAAACACGGTAGAAGTTGTGGATGGATTCTTGTTCTATTGTAATTGGTTCTGCATGTCAAGCTTTGGACAAACCAGAGTAATCTCTCTAAATACCTTGATGAGATATCAAAACATTGTATCAAAATCTACCATCCAGCGCCAAGCAAGTTTTTGAGCTTTCCTGCCTGTCTCTCAGTTGTTTCATCTGTATAATGGGGGCAGTAATCTCAATAATAGCAAGTAATATTATGTTGTTATATCATAAAACTATAATTGTAATCGTACTTCATTCAAGGGTAGTGAGGATTAAAGGAGAAATATAAAGTGTTTAGAAAATACCTGGCCAAAAGTAAATAGTTACAGTTAACTGTATTGTTATACTAGAATTCCTCCTTCAGAGGAGAGGGAAGGGGCTGAGAAAGTTTGAGTCACTTTTGTTGAGCTCCACAGCTGCACAATGATACGATCAAATGTAAACTCAGGGCCCTGTGGCTCCGAAGCAGCCTCCACTGCCTCAGCACGCCGACTTCCCCCTTCTAGCCCGCAAGCAGGTGAGCTCATTGAGCTACGAGCCCGGGGGGCAGAAGTGTCCATCAGGATTAGGCAGGCCCAGAAGCAAGGAGCCTGGGTGCCGCTGTGCCGCGGCGTGACTACAGGTAAGCGTTACGCGCCATGCATTTCAAAACGCTAGAAGAAAGGATTTTTAAAAAAATCATCAATGCCTCACCATAAAGGAATGATCATGGAGGAGATAGCTGTGTTTACCCTGCTTTCAACATTATACAATGTGTACAGGCGTCAAAACAGCACATGGTACCCCATGCATATGTACAATATTTATGTTTTCATGCATCAGTTAAAAATAAACTTAAACTAAAAAAAAAAAGTTTTAAGAATGAACTGCTACTCTAATTGAACAGAGGGGATTTCTGGTTAGCGGCTTCAGAAAGGGAGGTTGGTGGGGTCAGAGAAATTCACAGCTCTCCCTGGGAAGTGTCGTTGGTGTGGGTGAGGGCGGGGCTCTCCCAGAATGCACCACTCCTATGGCACTTGTCAGAAGGCATCCAGAGCGACAGGGATGGTGGGCTCGCAGCGCCGCCGCTGTCTAGCCAGCTCCAGGTCTTTGTGTTCTCAGGTTGAAGCGCGTCACTGAACAGAATGTGGAGCACCTGGAGCAGATGGGCGGGCTGCGATGGCAGACACACAGGTGACCCCTGCCAGCTCCTCTCCCCGCAGCCTGATCCATCTGGCCGGGCAGGAGTGCCCTCACGCTCCCTTCGAGCTCTCTGGAGGTGTGGAAGTCTGGAGTGCCCGTGCGCAGACCACACTCCGGTGGGGTGAGCAGCAGTCTGTCCTACGGGTTCAATCCAGGGGGAAACCCCTGAGTGGAATTCTGGCCACACAGCTAGCTGCTTTGGCTTAGCTGCGCCGGGCCCATTTCCTAGCCATAAAATGAGGATAACGTTATGTCTACTATCATAGGGCTCCTGTGAGGATTTCTAGAGAGTCACCAGCATGCAGTAGGTCAACAGTCCAGCGCTCTGGCAGCTGAGGCAGGAGGATTACAAGTTTGAGCCTAGACCAAGCAACTTAGCAAAGAGAGACTGTGTCTCAAAATAAAAAAGTAACACATAAATGCTGGGGGCTGCACCCTAGTGCAAAGGCCCTGGGGTCCATCTCAAGTGCAGTGGAGAGAGAAAGGGAAAGAGAAGGAAAGAGGAGAGGAAGGCTGATTCTGCAAAGAGTTCCTTTTGGATACTTTGAGTTTACATTCAGCTTCTGATGCTGGAAAGTAAAGTTACCTGCCTGGTTTGGGAACTTCAAATTCTACTGGCAGCGTGATTCCCAGGGATTCTTTCTCGAAGCATTTTACAGAAACCCTGCCAATGAGTGAGCGTCATCCTTGTTACTTGATGAGTTATAGGAGAAGCCAGAGTGCACTACACTAGGCTAATCAGAAAGGGGAGGAGAGAATCCCCTGAAGTTGCTAGGTGTTGGAAGGTCCCAAGGCCTCAGCCCCCGCCCCGGTGGCCCAGCAGGCCACGCTCAGGGGGTGCTCAGAGTCTCCCTGTGCGCCTCCCTCCGGGATGGCTGGGCACGAGAGGGTATCTTCCGGGATGCTCTGCCCTGGGCACCAGACATGGGGAGGATGATTAGCGGGACTGGAAACCAGAGGGGTCGAGGGCTCACCTCGAGAGGACTGGGCCAAAGCTGCTGTTGCTCTTGCTTGGCCGAGGAGCCGCTGTTTCCCACAATCCCTGTGCTACTTGGGTGCCCGAGGTGCCAAGGGGCTGGGGGCGGGACATCTTTTCATTGACAATTCTTTCTCATGACTATGACATTTTAATCTTTTAAAAAAACGTATTAACACAGGGTCTGCAGGTTCTCACTATGTAGTTCATACTCGTAGTGATCCTCCTGTTTTCAGCCTCCCAAGCACTGGGATTACAGACACACACTGCCACGCCCAGTCTCAATTGCCCTCTCACTGCGCCACAGGGGCAGGGCCCACAGAGAATGCTGGGGACCGAACCCCAGCTCCTGCGTCTGCTAAGCAGGTGCTTCACTCCCGAGTATTTGGCTGGCCGAAGTTACATAATTATTAACTGTAGCTGCACGGCAGATCTCACGAGCCTATTCCCCCTTGTTAGATAGTCTTCATGAAAACGGCTTGTGAGGACAGACGCTTCAGTGAGCCAAGGGCCCTGGTGCCCCTGGGGATATGTCCCTGCCCTCCTTGGGGCCGGGGAAAGCAAGGAGAGCTACAGGTGCAGGAAGGATGGCCTGGGGCCGGTGCAGAGGACGGAGGAGAGAAGATGATGGTGCAGGTGATTGCCACCGCCACCACCACCGCCACTGCTGCTGCCACCCCCACTGCCACTGCTGCCACCACCACCACTTCCACCACTACCACTGACACTGCTGCCGCCACCACCACTTCCACCACCACCATCACTGCCACCGTTGCCACCACCACCACTTTCACCACCACCACCACTACCACCACTGCTGCCACCACCACTGGCCCTGCTACCACCATCACCACTGCCACTGCTGCCACCACCACCACCACTGCCACCACCACCACTGCCACTGATGCTACCACCACTGCCACTGCTGCCACCGCCACTGCCACCGCTGCCACCACTACCAACAGCAATAGGAACAGCAACAACTCCTGGACCACAGGTCCAGCCCTGTTCTAAGTGCCTCATGTTCAATCCTCTCATCTTTGTCTAACCCTCGCTACTCACTCACTCCTCACCACTGCCCTAGGGACCGAGCAGTGTGGTTGCCTCCAACGTATTCCGAGTGAAAGTCCAGAGAGGTTCAGTAACTGCCTGTGGCCCGTGAGCGACTCTGCCAAGGACCCTACCTGGTTGGCACTTTGAGGCCATAACACAATAAAGAAAGTGGAAACTAATATTATCAGTTAACCCGGGAGGAGTCAGAAAAAAGAGGGTGAAAAGGAACAAAGATAAAATGGGGGAAAAACACAACAAAAGGCAAATGTTGAACATAAACCTATCCATAGCAGTAATCACATTAAATATAAAACGACAAATGTCTCAATTAAAGATAGGAAGATTCAGATTAGATTAAAAATCTATGAATCCAAATCTATACTTCCTAAAAGAAATGTACTTTAATTATAAAACTTAAAGGGATAAAGGGACTTACCATACTAGCATTTTTTTAAAAAAGAAAGATTGCAATATTTCTGTTACAAAGAGCAATTTCAGGTGGAAGAACATCTCTGGGAAGAAGGAAGACCTCGCACAGCACCACAAGGGCCAGTCCCCGAGGAAGACTTACTACCGCTCAGCGTTCAGGTGTCTAGCGAGAAAGCTCCAAAT